AACAAGAAATTAGAGATGGACTAAAATTGATTTTTTCATTTAAAACTAGTCATTATTGAACTATAGGTTATTTCAGATTCTAAAGTTTACTCAGTTTTTACTCGTTATTTCTTTATGTCATTGTTATGTTTTACGATAAACACTACCAGTTTTTAGTGAGTCTCACAGTCCTGAGACCAAATAAATCCTAAAGTAAAAATAAGGACAATATTTTGTAATGCAAGCAAAATTTACAAGTATCATTTTGAAAACCTGGACATGATCCTTCCTAATTAAAGACACACACACACACAAACACACACAATCTATGATATTATGTAAAGTTCTTTAGAATTTGTAGCACATTTCTAGACCCATGTATTATTTGATATTCTTTTTTTGTTTTGTTTGGTGGTACTGGTTTGGAACTCAGGGCTTTCACCTTGAACTACTCCACCACCCCTTTTTGTGATGGGTGTTTTTGAGATAGGGTCTCGTGAACTATTTGCCCACCTGGCTTCAAACTGTGATCCTCCTGATCTCTGCCTCCTGAGTAGCTAGGATTACAGGCCTGAGCCACCAGTGCCAGGCTTTATTTGATATTCTTAACAGTACTGGTAGGCTGGTGTTGTTATCCCCATTTTTCATAAAACAAAACTTAGGTTGAGAGAATTTTAACAACTTGCCCAATTGGTAAATGAGAGACAGAATTTAAGTCATAATCATTTTTCTGTTTTGTTTTGCTTGCTTGTCTTGTTTTTTGAGAGGGTCTCATTATGCAGGACCTGGAACTCTTTATCTACTCCAGACTGGCTTCAAAGTATCCTCCTGTCTCAGCCTCTCAAGGATTTGGGATTTTAAGCATGTACCAACACGTCTGACTTTGAAATTCTAGTGTTTTTATTGTAAATTTGTTTTTTGGTGGTACTGGGACTTGAACTCAGGATGTCATGCTTGCTAGGCAGGTGCTCTGCCACTTGAGCCATACCTCCAGAGAAATTCTAGTCTTTTGACAAATGGTCATTTGCATTAGAACTTACTGTCTAATAAAAGCTCAGAGATATTTATAAAAGTTAAATAGTTTTCTTTTTTAGTTGATGAAAATATTTAAGGGGATTGTATTTTTATTATTTGGGGGACGGGAATCCTAGGGATAGCACCCAGGGCCTCAAACATGCAAAGCATGTTGCTCTAATATTGAGGTGCACTCTAGACCAAGGAGGTTATATCTTTAAAGGACTTTTCCTTGAAATACAGGAGCAACTCAGTGTGGCTATTCCTACGGTCAAGTTACTTTGAATGACAATAAACTTGTGCACAAGCTTAAGTAGCTCTATAAATTTAAATATTTTTAAGGAGAAAAATATTATATTTAAAAGTGCTGCCTTTGGGAACTTTAAGAAGTGTGTTCAAATATTAGTCTTGCTTTCTGTAGCTTTGTGAATGGCAGCACCTACCATGAGTATTAATTTCTTCACTAACACAGTGTGCTTATTAATTACATAAAGTGTTTATTTTGGAAATTAGGCAAAATTTTGTATGTAAATCACTAAGCTAGCCCCTGGCATAAAAGTTATGAGTGTGAGGTAATTGTTGCCATTATGTATATTATCATTATCATTGTAAACTTCAGGAGAATCGTGTATACTAATTAGTATAGTATGAACTGACTATATAGACACACACATACATGGGGATTACAGACATTTTATTTGTGGCAATTTACATTAGATTTTTTCCTTTTAAGAATTTGAAGTGAAATAATCCAAATACTTAAAGGAAATTTGTAGGCATAGTTTAAATTATTAGTATTTCCTCTTTTTTAGAGTTTAATTAGAAGTAATACATGAACACACATGTATGCATGCATACATACCATTATTTTCTGCAACATTTGGTTTTCAGATTTGATGCTATTTTACCCATAAATAGATCACTTTATTTTCTAAACAAAATCCCAGCAAACAAAAACCATTTTTTTGATATAAGCATAGTGAAATCATTATAATTGAGAAGTTATCCTTCATGAAAAATATAATGCAAGCTACAGAATTAATACACAACACATCATTTGTCCACAAATAATTCATTGCTTCTAGTTGTTATCTTTCTTTATCTCACTCAATTTGAGAAAAATCCTCACTCTCTTTCTTGACATTGAAATTGTTAAGAGCAGAAAACAACTGAAGTGTAGAATTCTCTCAATGATGTTCCCTCATCATTTCATTTGTGCAATGCATTTTCTGGCAGCAATACTGCAGAATTAACACTCTATCCTTTTGTCAGTGCATCCTAACAGGATAAATAAATGATATGGTATCAATTTGTTCCATAACTCCTGATGCCAAATTTGGTCACTTGGTTAAACAGATGAACAGATTACTATTTTTTATACTTTGTAATGAATAGTCATCTTCTGAAATGTAGTTATACACTATGTAGCCATCCAATTAGTCCTCAGTCATGTATTCATTACAGTTCATATGCAATGATGATTTTTGTCTGAGTTAATTATTATTATTTGATGGTTGCTAAATAAGGAATTTCTGATTCCTTTGTTCTGTTTGCTTCGATAATGAAAGCTATCCTTGATTTTCTTTATGTATTTTATAACATATTCTATTCTGTCATTATTTACTTTGATGCTCCAATATTCCATGTGTGCATGCAAGAGCCTCTTCAAGATACCTGCTGTGCCTCCTGACAAATTCTCTTCATGGTTTGAGTGTTTTCTTGATTTCTGACACACAAAAATATTTTAGGATCAACTTGAACTTTTCCAGATCTTGCAATGAAATCCACCAATTATTCAAAGAGACTTAGTTCCTAAAAGTAGAAAATAGTATTTAGAAAAAAATAAACAGGCACTAGATTTGCTTGTAATTTGTGATTGGCTTTGCTTATAACCATTCTCAGCAGACAAAGCTGGGACACAGATGCCCAGTATGGGAATGTTTATAGCCACCCATTGGATTATCTCTATGTATCTTTGTATCTCCACGTATCTCTATGTGTCTACGTATATACATATCTATATCATCATCTTGTTCCTTATGTATCTAAAACCAATAGTTCAGTTAGATACTTTACATTATAATGCACTAAGATATATATTTTTTTCTCTTTTACCTTTTCTACTTTTGTAAATCCTTTCAGGATGAAATAGCTATAACTTAGCCCCACAATCCACAAAGTGTTTACTTGTTTGTTCAATTATACAACCACAGAAAATAATTTCAGAGGAACTAGCCCAAACCTCTACAGAAAGGAAACCTATGAAGAAATCAGTATTGCACACTGTACTTTTGTCTTTATATTAAGGGTAAATGCTACCTATGTCCAAGATTGCTAGAATTAGGTCCCTCATGCTTCATAGTGTTTATATTTTTCACTTGCTGGGAACTAAGATACAGAGATGACTGCAACCTGAATCTGGAGAGACAGGTACAGAGTAATACCAAACTTGTTTACCTAGAGCAAAAGCTAGTGAATGCATAATCTATTAACAGTATTAAAGGGAAATGTTGGCAAGTTTCTGGAGGTCCTATGTGTACTAGAAATAATGAAGGAAAGGCTGTAATTTTAGAGGGGCTCCGTATTTTTGTGGTCATTCCCTTAAGGACCCTACATAATTTCACAAAAAAAATCCAGGAAAGATCCCCTCACGACTCTTCAGAGTGAAAAGCGCAAATCAGTCATTTTTAAGCACAGGCCATTTCTATTATGATGGCCTCTCTCTCCAAGGAAACAGACTTCCAGAGCCTTTTCTCAGCTCTTAGAAGAGAATACTTACTCCATGCTTCTCTAGTCATCAGTAATCTCACCTAAAGGAAGGAAGAAAAAATAAACAGAGTTAATAGGAATAGCAGTTCAAGGAAATAAACTGAGAACAATACAACTGGGGAAGGAAGTTAGGGAGGTGGGAAGAAAAAAGCTAGTCCAGAAGAAAAACACATGTTAAAATCAGGGACTCAAGTCACAGACCTGCTAAAGGAATGAGAAATAATCAAAACCCTCCCAGAACCCAATATACCAGGTCATCAGAAAACAGAGCTCCAGTTTAACAACAATGGATTACAGCTGAGAGAGTTGCAGGACCAGACAATGTGGTAAGAAATTTTTAAAGAAAGACCATTGTGGTTCTTCTGATTAACATCCCCACTCACACTGTATGAGGGTTCCTTTCTCCCCACATCTTTATTTTGTTGTTGTTTGTGTTCCTGATGGTATCCATACTAGCAGGAGTGAGGTAGAATCTTAATGTGGTTTTGATTTGTGTTTTCTTTATGGCCAGGGATGTTGAAATTCTATTGTTCCTGAACCTGGAGTTTTTGGTTTTGTTTTTTAAATAAAAATTCAACTTTATTGAACATAGGAATCGGCAGACTTTCAGATTATTTTTGCTTCATGGTTATTACTTTGTAACCATTTGATCCATGGTAGAACCTGCTAGTGTTGGTACTATACGAAGATGCTTACCTATCCTTGTCAAGTTTCCTTTTAGTTTTAGTTCTATATTCATAAACAAATACTTGAATCTGAACAGAAACCTTTGTGACTGGATTAATAGTATGTGGTAATGCACGGAATATGCACTGCTTAAGCTGATAATAAATGATCAACTGCTCTATAATAACTTTTGAACACTTCAAATGTGAATGGTATGAAAACATTTGGTTTTGCTCTTAATTATTCTTACATTAGTAGGCGCTTACAGGCAAATACTTATGTTTTCTACTTCCTAGATTGATATAACACATAACAGCATTTTCAGTAGGTAAAACTTGTTTTTCTTGTCTTTCTTGAACAAAATGATCAGGGTACTAATAAAACCATCTTTGGAGGAGGAATTTAATAAGCCTATTTTATTTAAATAAATCCTCCACTAAAAAGTGGAGAATTCACTGCCTTTATTTAGAAGGCTTTGTAAATATATCTGTCAAATTTATGTGTAGCTCACCAACGTTCCCTTATTATAAACATCACTATTTTCACGTCACAGTTCCCAAGAGGACTTAAAAGTCACTCAAAATTCTGTCTCTCCTTTGGCTTGCTTCTCTCTTGATTCCACCCAGGCTTTATTAATAGTTAGTTTCATGTCATCATCTCCATCTTCATAAATTTTCTTTAAAACATTCATTAATTCCTCACTAGGATCTGCTTCAGTGTCATAGGAAGGCTTTTCTTTCTCTCTGCAGTCTTTTTCAACTTGAGTCAAGTAGTCCCACTGTGTGTTTTCTACTTTCTTTCTACATAAGATAAGAACTGTATCAGTTTTCACTTTTTTTGAACTGCCATCCACAGAAATGTGTTTCAAGAGATTGTTCACGATCATGGAGTAACTCTTCCCATTTAGATACTTTACCAAAAGATCAAATGACCTCTCTGTGAAATGCACCTGCACATTCTCAGGGGGAACTGGATGAACTCCAGTTAAGGTAATGTAGATTTTCATAAACTTATCTGACTGATCCCATCCATAATTATTGATTTTCACTGTGTATCCTGTTGTAATGGGAGTAACCACAGCAGATGGCTTTTCATTGTCAAGTTCTGGTTTCTTCTGTGATTTCTGTTGCATCTTGTTCTTTATTTCAGCCATGATCTTGGATTTTTCAGCTGTAAGCATATCACACACTTTTTTGCTAGTGGACTTTTCCAGCAGCACCTTTATCTCTTCTAGGTCTTTCTGTAGCTCCTCCAAAGCTGAAGCCATGGTTACCAGATCAGGCTGAAAGCCAGGGCTGCAGCAGTGCACCGGAGAGTACAGAAAACATCACACAGAGTGCACTCAACACGAGCGTAGACTCCATCAGTGCTAGTGACAGCACCCTGCATGTACACCTGACTGTGTGTGAGCTTGTTTTGTTTCTTGTTTGTTTGTTCAGCTCTCCACATTGATTCTTTGGGATTTTTTTGTTGTCATTAGTTTTATTATAGTGAATTAGTTAATACTAAATTACACCCAGACCAAGGACAAAAATAGCACATACACACTTAGTTAAAAACCCAATGCAGCCACAAAACAAAATTAAATCAAGGGAAGAAAACAGGTGACTGAAACCACCAACTAGCCTATCAAGAACATAGTTGCACAGTACCAAGTGGAGCAGTGGGAAGAAGAAAAAGGTATGGAAACCATTCTTCCCCCCAAAATAATTTAATACAGGATTCAGAGGGGAATGAAGAAAATTAGATACCCAATTCTGTACTCCAACAAAACAAAGATACATGACACCAAGGAACCCAATGATGTCCACAAGAACACCCTCAAAGAATAAATCCTGCAAGTAACCACTGAGAATTTCATGGACATGATACTAGACATGGTAAAACAAAATGTACAAGAGGCACTCAAGAAATTTCAAGACACCAAAAATAGAGAATATGAGAAGACACAGGAACAAATAAATGAACTCATAGAAGACCTAAATAAACACCAAAGTGAAACAGAGAACACTATAAATAGAGAGATAAATGAATTAAAGAAGAAAATAGACAATATTAAAGAGGAAGTGACCCATGATATGGAAAACCTCAGAAAAAAGAATGAAACAGAAATACAAAACATAATGGAAGGACATTCCAGCAGACTAGAACAAGCAGAAGACAGAATCTCAGAACTTGAAGATAAAATGGAAATTCAAGGAAAAGCTGAAGAGCTATTAGTCAAAAAACTCAAGTCCTGTGAAAAGAATATGAAAGAACTCATGGGCTCCATCAAAGACCAAACCTGAAAATCATGGTCATTGAAGAAGGATAAGAGGTCCAAGCAAAAGGGATTTATGATATATTCAATAAAATAATGACAGAAAATTTCCCAAATGTAGAGAAAGCTATGCCCATTCAGGTACAGGAAACTTCCAGGACACTAAACAGACTTGACCAAAATAGAACTACCCCACACACATTGTCATTAAAATAACAAGCACAGAGAATAGAGAAAGAATACCAAAGGCTGTAAGAGAGAAAAAACAATTAACATACAAAGGGAAACCCATCAAAATCACAACAGATTTCTCAATGGAAACCTTAAAAGCAAGAAGAGCATGGAGTGAGGTCTTCCAGGCACTGAATAATAACTTCAACCCAAGGATACTCTTCCTAGCAAAACTATCATTCAAAATAGATGGAGCAATAAAGTCTCCGACGATAATCAGAAACTAAAACAATGTATGACCACCAAGCCACCACTACAAAAGATCCTCCAGGGAATTCTATACAGAGAAAATGAAAACAAACAAAACCATGAGAGGAGATGCAGTACCAAACCACAGGTGAAGAAAAGACAAGGAATCAGAGAGTAACATTGATTCAACTGCACACAATCAAACCCTTAAACAACAAAAATAACTAAATGACAGTAATCACCTCATACCTATCAATATTAACACTGAATGTTAACAGACTTAACTACCCCATCAAAAGACACCACTTGGCAAACTGGATTTAAAAGGAAGATCCAACAATATATTGTTTACAGGAGACCCAACTCATTGACAGAAACAAGTACTGGCTTAGGGTAAGAGGCTGGAAGAAGACTTACCAAGCCAATGGCCCCCCAAAACAGGCAGGAGTAGCCATACTTATCTCAGACAAAGTAGACTTCAAACTTACATCGACCAAATGAGATAAAGAAGGACACTCCATACTAATAAAAGGAAAAATAAAACAAAAGGAAATAGCAATTATCAACCTATATGTGCCCAATGTCAGTGTACCCAATTTCATCAAATATACTCTGAAGGGCCTAAAAGCATATATGGACTCCAACACAGTGGTAGTGAGACATTAATAGTCCCCTATCATCAATAGATAGGTCATCCAAATGAAAAATCAATAAAGAATTTCTAGAACTAAATCACACCATAGATCAAATGGACCTAGCTGATGTCTACGGAATATTTCATCCAATTTCCACACAATATACATTCTTCTCAGCAGCCTATGGAACTTTCTCCAAAATTGATCATATGTTGGGGTACAAAGCAAGCCTCAGCAAATACAAGAAAGTAGAAATAATCCCATGCACTCTATCTAATCACAATGCATTAAAACTAGAACTCAACAACAAAAACAAAATCAGAAAATATGCAAACAATTGGAAGCTAAACAACACATTGCTCAATGATCAATGGGTCATTGATGAAATAAAAGAGGAAATTAAAAGGTTCCTGGAAGTTAATGAAAATGAAAGATGACCTACCAGAACCTATGGGACAAAGCAAAGGCAGTTGTAAGAGGAAAGTTTATAGCCACGAGTTCCTATATTAAAAGGACAGAAAGATCTCAAATCAATGACCTAATGTTACATCTCAAAATCCTCGAAAAACAAGAACAAGCAAAACCCAAAACAAACAGAAGGAGAGAAATAATAAAAATAAGGGCCAAAATTAATGAAATAGAAACAAACAAACAAAAAACATACAAAGAATCAACGAAACAAAAAGCTGGTTTTTTGAAAAAATAAACAAGATTGAAAGACACTTGGCAAACCTGACTAAAATGAGGAGAGAAAAAACCCAAGTCAATAAAATCAGAAATACAAAAGGGAAGATAACAATAAACACCATGGAAATCCAGGGAATAATCAGAGACTACTTTGAGAATCTATATTCCAATAAATTTGAAAATCTTGAAGAAATGGACAAATTTATAGATAGTGATGACCATCAAAAATTGAACCAAGAGTATATTAATCACCTGAATAGATCTACAACACAAAATGAAATTGAAGCAGCAATAAAGAGTCTCCCTAAAAAGAAAAGTCCAGGACCTGATGGATTCTCAACTGAATTCTATCAGACCTTTAAAGAAGAACTACTACCAACTTCCCTTAAACTTTTCCATGAAATAGAAAAAGAAGGAACCCTGCCTAACTCATTCTATAAAGCCAGAATTACACTTATACCAAAAGCAGCAAGACATCTCCAAAAAGGAGAAATATTGGCCAATCTCCTTAATGAACATTGATGCGAAAATCCTCAATAAAATAATGGCAAACTGAATCCAACAACATATCAGAAAGATCATTCACCATGACTAAGTCAGCTTCATCCCAGTGAGGCATGGATGGGTCAACATATGCAAATCTATAAATGTAATATAGCACATTAATAGAAGCAAAGACAAAAACCACTTGATCATCTCAATAGATGCATAAAAAGCCTTTAATAAGATCCAACACCACTTCCTGATAAAAGCTCTAAGAAAATGAGGAATAGAAGGAATGTACCTCAACATTGTAAAGGCTATATATGACAAACCTATAGCCAACATTATGCTTAATGTAGAAAAACTGAAACCATTTCCCCCTAAAATCAGGAACATGACAAAGGTGCCCACTATCCACACTCCTAATCAACATAGTCCTGGAATTCCTAGCTAGTGCAATTAGTCAAGAAGAAGAAATAAAAGTTATACAAATAGGTAAAGAAACTTTCAGAATATCATGATCCTATACATTAAAGACCCAAAAAACTCTACCCAAAACCTCCTAGACACGATAAACTCCTATAGCAAGGTGGCAGGATGCAAAATAAACTTACAAAAATCATTAGCTTTTCTATAAACGAACAACAAACAAATTGAGAAAGAATATATGGAAGCAATTTACTTACCAATAGCCTCAAAAAAAAAAATCAAATACCTAGGAGTAAACTTAAAAAAGGATGTGAATGACCTCTACAAGGAAAATTACAAGCCCAGGTAGAAAGAGATCGAGGAAGACTAGAGAAGGTGGAAAGATCTCCTGTGCTCATGGATTGGTAGAATCAACATAGTAAAATGACTATACTACCAAAAGCAATATACATGTTTAATGCAATTCCCATCAAAATCCCAATGACGTTCATCACAGATATTGAAAAATCTATCCTAAATTTCATTTGGAAACACAAGAGATCACAAATAGCCAAGTCAGTACTCAGCAAAAAGATCAATGCTGGAGGTATCATAATACCTGACTTCAAACTATATTTCAAAGCAAAAACAATAAAAACAGCATGGTACTGGCACAAAAACAGACATGAAGACCAGTGGAACAGGACAGAGGACCCGGGTATGAATCCACACAACTACACCCACCTTATTTTTGACAAAGGCACTGAAAATATATGATGGAGAAAAGACAGCCTTTTCAATAAATGTTGCTGGGAAAAGTGGTTATGTGCCTGCAAAAAACTGAAACTAGATCCATGTTTATCACCCTGTACCAGTATCAACTCAAAATGGATCAAGGACCTTAATATCAGACCCAAAACTCTGAAATTAGTACAGGAAAGAGCAGGGAATACTCTGGAAGCCATAGGTATAGGCAAGGACTTCTCAATAGAACCCATCAGCTCAGCAACTAAGAGAAAGAATGGACAAATGGGACTACATAAAACTAAAAAGCTTCTGCACAACAAAAGAAATGGTCTCTAAACTGAAGAGACCACCAACAGAGTGGGAGAAAATATTTGCTAGCTATACATCAGACAAAGGACTGATAACCAGAATATACAGGGAGATCAAAAAACTAATTTCCCCAATATCTGTGAACCAATAAAGAAACTTGGGCACCAGAACTTTTTCAAAAGAAGAAATTCAAATGGCCAAAAAACACATGAAAAATGATCACCATCTCTAGCCATAAAGGAAATGCAGATGAAAACCACACTAAGATTGCACTTTATCCCTGTAAGAATAGCCATCAACAAAAACACCACCACCAAC